TTTTTTTTACTATAATTCAATATATATAACATATTTAATATTATATTTGGTATTTATATTTAGTGTAATATTCAAATATATAGATGTTACTTATATACAATATAAGGTGTTTGGTATTTAGATTATAAAAAAAATATACATTTTATTATTTTATTACTATTCATATCATATAATCTATTATATTAAAATTAGACATTTCTTCTAAATAACATAAATAAATTTCTAATCCCAATAATTGAAGTGAAACTTCTAATGATCGTCAAAGAAGATTAAATCAGATTAGATAAAGAAATTACAAAAGAAGGCGTATTAATAATAATATTGATATTCGTCATAACTTAGGAAGTATGAATCAGTTGTGCTTACATTGTGGTGCCAAGTTTTGGATGGATGAAAAAAAATCAAAGGAGCACAGATTTCTCCTACTTTTTCTGTATATTGTATTAATGGAATAGTTAGATTATTGCCTCTGCTTAAACCACCTCCATATTTAATGAATCTCTATACTTCATCAGAATCTGAAGCTAATTCTTTTCATAAAAATGTTAGAAGTTACAACAGTTTATTAGCTTGCACATCATTTGGTGCTAATGTAAATGATGAGTTTCAGAGTAATGGAGTATCTAATTTCAACATTCATGGTCAAGTTTATCACCTTATTGGACTATTATTACCAGAAGTCTGAAACTTCTAATATATCAATGCTAATTCATAATAATCGTATACAAAATTTACATAGTTATAGTATACCTACATCATCTAAAGTTGCAGCACTTATGATAGGAGATAGACATGATATTGAATCACTAAATCGTGATATTTTGCTTAGAACTCGTGAAGGAGGTTTACAAAGAATATCTGAACTGAATTCCTCTTATGATACCTTGCATTATGTATTATTATTTCCAAAAGGTGATGATGGTTGGCATACTAATATTCCTCTTACAGAACCTGGTTGATCAATATGCTAAAATTGATAAATTACTTAAGACAAAATCAGTCAGAACTTAGAACTGAATTTTATCAAGGAGTTATAGATGCAATACATGCAGGAGATAATACTAATAATATTGGATGTCGTATAATTCTTCCATCAACTTTTTCTGGTGGACCACGATATATGTATCAATTATATCAAGATGCAATGTCATTTTGGTAAGCCTGATCTTTTTATTACCTTCCCATGTAATCCAAAATGGCCAGAAATTATACGAGTATTATTACCAGGTCCAATTGCTACTAATAGGCCTGATTTAACTACTTGAGTTTTTCATATGAAGTTACAAGAAATGATGAAAGATCTGTGTGAAAAAAATTTACTTGAAAAAGTTATTGCATATATTTATGTAATAGAATTTCAAAAACGAGGATTACCTCATGCACACATCTTACTAATATTAGCTCCTGAAAATAAAATTCATTCAATAGAAGAATATGATTCAATTATTTCTGCAGAAATATCTAATTGTGAATTAAATCCTTTAGCTTATGAAACTGTGACAACTATGATGCATGGCCCATGTGGTATATTAAATCCATCATCACCATGTATGAAAGATGGTAAATGCCAAAAGTATTATCCAAAAAACTTTCAAGAAACTACACAAGAAAATTCTGATGGATATCCAATTTACCGTCAACAATATGATGGTTATTATGTAGAAATTAGAAATGAAATTCAGTTAGATAACTGATGGATTGTTCCTTATAATATTAAATTAGTAGAAAAATATAATGCACATATAAATGTTGAAATTTGCAATTCAATATTAGCT